GCATGGAGCCACGCACTTAAGTGAGGCTCACGGAGCTGAGTGTGTCCCTAACATCGGATCCTGGACCATAAACGGCAAATAGAAAGGATGACAAAGTCTCTGTCAAAGTAGCTAAAACCCAATTCTTGTCCGAATTCAGCATACGTCCACAGACCGAAAGAATATAAAATTGCTTCTACGCTACAGACAGTGTATGGACACAATCACCCGAAACACGCATGTGATGTGCGGCAGAACTTGTGCGAATCCTCACGGGGCAAGCCTCGAACGTGTGTCTTAGAGAAACGGCAGAACTTGCCCACAAGGCCCTCCATTTCCCACTGCCTCATTCAGGAGCACCGAGGACTAGTAAGACCCGTTCTAACCCACACCTGTGCCACTGTCCCCGATGAGACAGCGGGACTGAGGCGGGCAGGGTGCCCAGGCACTGAACGGGGAAAGCACACTCAGCCAGTGTCCTTGGGCGCGGGCCTCTCACCGCCGCCATGTGTGTCCCCAAGCACTGTGGGGACAGGAGGCCTAGCAGCCTGCCCACGACGGCTGTGCACGTCCAGGCCCCACACTCCCTGGTTCTGAGCACACATTCCCAGCGTGGCAGCCTCTGCCCACAGCTACCTAATCACGTCTTTAAGGAATATCGTTCCTTCCTCTGAGTCTGCCCCGGGAAGATCTCAGCTTCTGAAGCGTTTCTGTTGCCTGTTGAAGCGCGACCCGGGCTCATCCTACAAGAACCTCCCTGGCAGTCACCTGGGCCACGCGGGTTCTCCCGAGGAATGGGACGGCTCGCCCACGTGGATTCTAGAGGTGCCCATGAGGGATTCCTGCTAGGGACCCTGAGAAAACACGGCACTTGCGTCTTCACAGACCACGTCGTTTTGTAGTTTCGTAGGGAACTCCTTCAGCTGCCCGTTTCCCATCCAAAGTGGCAGCAGAAAAACGCAGCACTTCCATCCAGCCGACCGCACTGCCTTGAATTAAGTATGTGCCAGCCCGTGCACGCACGCGCACGGACACACAGACACATGCTGTTCTCCTGTGCATTTTGCTGCATCGTTTTCTCTTTACTCTTCAAGAAAAGACCGTTGCCCTTCATGGTCAATAATATCGCGCCCAAGCTACCCCGGAATTCCGAGCTCATCATGAAGGTTATAAACTTCATTTGAGCCGAAGACTGCCTGGGGAGCAAAGCGCTCCAACACTCTGACCTGGACACTAGAGTTGCGCGGCAAGGAGGCCTGGTGAAGGGCGGGGGCCTCCCCGAGGCAGGCGCAGACGCTCCCCAGCCCCACACGCTAACGCGACCCGATCACGCCGCAACACATGTGCCCGTCCGCAAGGGGAAAGGAGACTGGACACCTGCAGGTATGCCACACAGAGCCCAGCAAAGGGAGCACACACCTCGCATCACCGTCACATCAAGTGTCTGTGTGGCAGCAGCGTGGCTGGACGGGACGCTCCCCTGCACGGCCCTGGACAAGTCTCGGACTTGTCCTCGGACAAGGGACTCTGTCAAGTCCCAACAACAGAAACCTTATATCTCATTCTATCTAAAATCATCTCGTCCTACTACCTTCAAGTTTTACTCTAAAGTCCCTATTCTCACCTAACATAGGCTGAGCACGCAGCGTGAAAACCCAGGTAATGTATTATTTTTCTACTCCATCAACAGAACAGCCCTGCTCTATGGATGGAAGCTTCCAGACTCGCCAGCCACACAGAGCAGACCGTGTGTTTCAGGCTTCAAGGGTGATGGTCGGAGGCCCTCCAGGAAGTGACAGTCGTCACGCCACGGAACATCCTTCCTCCCTTGGCGGGGCCACCCCACAAACATCATTCCGTCGCAGTACGTGGGGAGACGGCCTCGGAGAACTCTCTGTCCCGAAGTCTGGAAGGACCCAATGTCTCCGAGGCACCGCCAGACGGCAGGGCCTCTGTGTGAGCAGAACACGAGCCCTGACAGAGTCACACTGGCCCCCACAAACATCGCCATGTGGCACAGACGGCCACTCTTCTCAGAAGGTTCCCTTCGGCAGCCTCTGCCTCCCCACGACAGCGCGAGGCCGGGAGGTACGTCCCCGCGGCCCGTGTGGAGGAGTTGAGACCTTTACTCTACAGGGACACCCCCAAGAGGAGGCTCGCGTCCGATCCGAGAGCAGGTGCATCCGACCACGGAATGGGAGCCGATCAGCACGGGCAGTCCCATCCAGTGTCGCAGGCCAGAAAGAGGGCTTGGAACCGAGAGGAACTTAATTTTCTAGATTCGTGATGTGAAATTCAATTGCGTATCACAGCAAAGCCACGGACGCCTGGCCAGCGGAAGACAAAAACCTCAGGAATCTGCGTCAGTGGCACCTTCAGAAATGCGTCAGGGCTGTGATCTGGAGGCCACTCGCCCCTGCTGGCGGCACAATGGCAGAGGGCCTCCATACAGGAACCGTCAGCCCCCCACTCACCTCTCAGCCAGGCCACGCCTGCCACGTCTCCTTCCTATGCAACCCCTCAAGGGCCATCCAGAAACATCCCAAGAAGGAGAAAGGAAGCAGCAAAGGCCCTGGAGGGGCGGCCACAGACAGTACACGTGGGCAGGGCACAGACAAGCTGAGGCGTTCGAGGAGTCCACAGGCGTTCCCAGGGGACAGCCCAGGCCCAGCCCCAAAGTCGAGCCCAGAGCCCAAGGTGGGCCACGGAGGGGAGGGCCATGCAGGGGGCATCCCGTCCAAGCACACAGCCACCACACGGACACCAGCCAAGTGTCCGAGAGAAACCGATCTCTGCTCTTCCCTAAACCCGGGAAACCATGGTTCTAGAAACACACTTAGTATTATTACAGCCGAAAAGTTTAAGATCTGCCCTTAAGGAACCCAAGTCAGCTTGAATTTAAACGCCCTAAACACCTTTAATCCACGGAGCTGTATGTCCGTGTGTACACGGACAGAGGACCCAAGAAAAGTGCACGCGTGTGAGGCACAATTCAGCGTTTCTCACATGTAGAAGGTAACTGTGGAACCTCTCTTAAAACACACACACACACACACGCACACTAAACCCTGAGAACCATTTACAAATGTTAAGGAATAGGAGAACATTTCCAGCTACTGCATACTTCCAAATGTCATCGAAATTCTCAAAACCGGAACTTGAAACTGACTTCTACTTTTCGGGGGGAAGAGCAACGACAGCACCGTCGGACGGGCAGCGCGACGGGCCATCACAGAGGAGGGTCGCTCTGTGACATCCCAGGTCGGGGTGCTAAGCAGAAGCCACTGACACAGTGACAGGCGTCCCGGGTCTGGGCGCCCGAGGCCACGGTCACTGGAAGGAGTGGACAGTGGGTCACGGCTGCTGGGCACACGGGTACCCACGGAAACTTGCCCACCATTGGCTGCCTATGACGTCTCAGCTTTGAGATCCACGGAAACCAAACCTAGAGCGACGTGGCTGCCCCCAGGTCTAAAGGGCACCCACACACTGTGACTCATCTCCCAGCAAATAATCTGCCTGCCTGGAAACGCCCCTGGGACGTGCAAAACTCACTGAACTGAAACCTGAACATGTGAACACACCAGGCCACGTGCCGGCTGCCTTCTACCACCCGCCACAGCCTGGCACCGCGCCCCCCACCCGAGGGGAGGCGTCGCAGACACGGGGCCTTCCAGCCTTGCCTCCCAGCACCTTGGCGATGGCGTGTCTCAGCGGCCTCTGGGCTTCTGTGCCTTTAGCTTCATTCTAGAAAGTTCCCAGGAAGCGCGGGCTCTGAGCAAAAAGGAACAGACACCAGCCTCAAACAAGGACCCCGCTGGCAAAACCTCCGAGACTGTGGCACCCCGAGTGTTTCCCACCTTAGTGTTTCCCCAGGAGCCAAAGGCACCGCTCGCCATGCCAGGACGGCTCCGGCGTGCCCAAGGAGCCGGCAGGTTCCGAAGTCCCTGCGAACATAGGGAGAGACCCGCCTTCTCGGCGAGGCACCCGCGGCCACACCATGGGTGTAGGGCGCCTCACCGTTCACCCAACTGCCTCCAAACCGTGAACAACGTTCCCCCAAAGTGCCTCCAACTTGCTGGAATTTGAGGGGCCCCATCTCAAAGGTCACTTTTGACAGTGACCTGCTGTAACGACAGGCGCGTGAACACTTCCGTCAGAGAAGGGCAACGAACAGAGAGAGAGCACCGCAGGGTCTCCACCTGCTTGATCTTTGGTTTTTAACAGCAAATCCTTCGCTCTCCTCGTGCTCTGTTAAGGGAGAGCCCCCCACAATTCACGCCCAAGGAGGAGGGCGTCCTATACGGCGTGTGCCTTCCCTCGTGGGTCCTCGCAAAAGGTGTCAATACCCAGACACCCGCAGAAAAGGCAAGTGGCCACTAAAGGTGTGTCTTTTCTCAAATTGCGGCATAAGCCAGTCCCCCAGACTTCCTATGGTACATCCATACTCCGCAGGGTTTGCTCACAAACACCACTGAACTATGCGCTTTTAAATTACAAACATACAGAAACAAAACAGTTGTTTCTTCAAATGAACGTTCCTGCCTATTGAGAGAAAAGGGACCACGAACATCACTGATTCTATGTTTAAAATAACAAAGGAAGGGCACCCAGCTGGGTCCGACAGGAGAGCCTGTGACTCCTGATCTTGAGGCATGAGTTTGACTCCTATGCTAAGCAAAGAGCTTACTTAAAAAATAAAAATAAAAAACAAAGGACGTGAGGGGCGTCAAGGCTGCCCGCTCCTGTGAAACGTCAGCATTCCCAAATTAACAGCCCCAGGAGGGAAGGCCTGGCACCCGAGGGAAGGCTCCCGCCCCAGCCCTGGGCACCTGAACCCTGGTGGGCAGAGCTGGGGGGCAGGAGGGGTGCACGGGCCCCGCGCTCTCTGCTTGGTGCTCAGATGTACAGCCACCCAGCAGGCAGCTGCCCAACCTCCTGGGGAGAGGCTGCTCGTGGGGCCTGCAGAGGACGGTCGTGCCAGCGCTTGCGGGGCAGGGTGGTGGGGCCGCCCGTCTTACCTCTGTGCTCGAGTGCAGGGCCACTGGCACCCCAGCTCTGGTAGAGAGAAGCGAAGTCCTTTGGAATGTACGTCTTAAAGACACTGAGGATGTCCAGGCGTTTCTCGCGGCCGTCCGATGCGGGCTCCGGCTTGCCGACCTGCACGGCCGTGCTCCCCCTGGGGCCCGTTCCGCAGCTGGTGGGCGGCCGCAGCTCCTGGCCAGCCTTGGAGGGGGGCTCACGGGGAGGTAGAGGGGGGCCCCCGTCGCCTTTCCCGTGCGGCGGACCCTGAGGCTGAGGGCTGAATTTGGCTTTCGGAAGGTCCGGGGCACTGTGCTTCTGTGGGGGGCCGAGGCTGGACCCCGTGGGAGGGATGACATACTTGTCCCCCGGCCTGCCACCTGTGGGGGGCTGGGCTCCTGCTCGGGCGATGACGGAGGGCGTGGGGGTGGCACATCGGCTGAAGCCTCCGCCGCCTGCCACGGGCCCCGCTCTCGGGCCGGCCTCCTGCCTGGGCTTCGGCAGGGACGGCTGCGCCGGGGCGCCGTGAGGCTCGGGGCCGTGGCCGGCTTTGGCCTGTCGGGGCCCGTCGGGGCCGGCCACCCAAAGCGCACAAGGGCCCCCGGAGTGGCTGTCCTTGCTCTTAGGCAGGCTGGCAGCTTTCGTGGCCATGGCCAGGGGCGAGGGGCTGCCTTTGGGCCCCGGCGCCCCACCTGGCACCTGAGTGCGTGTGAACCGGGCGATGGGCAGTGGCTGGCACTCTTTGCCCCCGAGGGCAGGCGGGGGGCCCGTGCGTCCGCTCCGGGCAAGGAAAACCAAGTTGTTCCTGATGCTCCTGTAGCCGTTGGGCTGGATCCACTGGGGGGCCACGGAGCTGCAGCTGACCCTGTGCCAGACACGCTCGTGCATCCACAGGACCTCGGGGTAGTAGGTCTTGTGGCTGCAGTAAGGACACGGGTGAACGGCCAGCGCCGCCTGCAGGGACGAGGCCAGCTGCTTGTGGCTGGGGTCGTCCCGGCTCGACCTCTCGCTGAGGTCCAGGGGGGCCAGGTCTGGGGCCGGCACCCTCCGGCCCCCTGCAGTGTGCTCCTTCGTGTGCAAATCAGACGGCGTCTCCTTCAGGGGCTGAGCCGGGCTCCCGGACGAGAGCGGCAGGTCGGCTCCTTCGGGGAAAGTCTGATCTGAACGTGAAGGGAAGTCGGCGGCGTCCCTGGAGACCGCAACCTCCTGCTTCGGGTGAAACGCCGGCATTTTGACGCCCACGGAAAACCGGGGCTGCTCTGCTCTCTTGGAAGCGTCTCGGCTCCTGTTTCCGAGTGCGGACGCAGAGGCTGCGCTCCCCACTCCGGGCTCCCCGGTGTCGGTGTGTGACGCGGCAGTCCCGGGCGCGCGACCCTGGTCTCCGCCGGCGAGCGCGGTCGAGGCTGCCTCTTCAGAAAAGCGGAAGTGGAGAGGCTTTCCCCCTGGAGGGTCAGAACGTAAAACGTGAAGTTACCACTTCTCATCAGAACAGAAGAGGCACAGCAGCACACCCCAAGGCACTGTGGCCCTCGCGCGCAGAGGGTGCACGGGTCCTCGGGAAACAACGGGGTCTCGCCACAACACCCTCAAAAGCAGGCCAGCTGTAAGGGCAAAAGGATGGCATTTGGGGTGGGGTTTCTTTCTTCGGTTGATTAACTCAACAGACTGTCAGGAGAAATAAAATCTAGCTGCCTGCAACCCCGCGGTTACTCGTTAACAGACGGTAACTAGTTGTATCAGACACCAAGAAACACCTGCTCCGTACTAGCACAAGCTTCCCAGGCCTTTCCACGAACTCTCTAAATGCAGTCACAGTAAGGGACCCCAGGGTCTTAAGCTAAGAGGGCCCCAGGACCTTGAGACGCAGCCCGTGGTCACACAGAGGCTGGGACTGAAAATGGCTCACTTTGCCCAGGGGATGCCATGGCTGCCACAGAAATGTCTGGGCTACAGGTCAGTTTCAGACTGATCCAGAAGGGGTCCCTAATAACACTCTGTCTCAAGGCCCACTCCTCTGGTCCAAAGCCTTGACACCGGAAGCTTCCCTTCAGAGGCATGGGAGGAAGGTAAGTGAGGCCACGCATCCCGCCTTTCCCCAGAGGTATGTCCGGGACGGGGACCCTAAACTCTGCCCCTGCGGTTCCCACCTGCAGTGCTCCTGCAAGAGATACCCGGGTGCGCCCGGAGGCCCTGCCTCAGGGAGGCCCGCCTTGCCCAAGCCACGCTGCACGGAAGGCTCAGCGGCCGGTGGGAGCAGGGCTCCCTGCCCTTCAGGCCCGACAGGTGAAAGCCTCCGCAGCCAGGCCAGACCACACCCCAAGTGGACGGGCACAGCCTGGGAGAAAGTGCACTTCCCACTCGCACTGATGAGCTCGGCTGCGGCGAGCCCGACAGCGGGAAGGTGTGCGATCCTTTCTGGATGTCTCAGAACTTTCCAAACTACAGTACACAGGTTCTTCGTTGTGGACACCCGCTGGACGCCCCCTGCGACCGCTGCAGGGTCAAAATGTCGGGTGCCCACTGACGGCAAGGCCCGATACTCCTGGTCTTCAAGGATATTCATACACTTAAATATCTGCAGTGCAACGTAGGTATCTATTTATAAAAAATGTTTTTTAAAATTTTTCTAAGTATATTTTTTGGAGTTAAGTCTCAGGAATCCCATCAAATGGGTATATATATATGTATATATATATATATATATACATATATATATATATATTTTTTTTTAATGTATTCCAAAGGGATCTCCATGAAGGCAGGAGGGCATCCTTCAGAGAACGGGTTTTGACAGAGATCAGAAGGAGCACAGTAACAAATGTGCAGTTTCCATTAGTAGGTAGTGAGCCACTCCCATGCAATTTTAAGGGCTTATGACTCACATAAAACGTGACCAGCATGTAGTGATGGGCAGGATGGGTGAGGAGATAAGAAGATGCAGAAAGGATAAATATTCCTGTCTGCACCAAAATGCTAACATGTGAGCCACTCTGGGGTATCTGTCTGTCCTAAGTACCATGTCCTGTTCCCCCGAAGGCGCACAGAGCAACCCTGGGAACCTCTGCTGACAAGAGGGTACCTGACCTGGGACTAAACATGCAGAAACCTCGTGACCTTTGTTCAAATCCCACTGATGCTCAGAATGTCAAAGTCACTTTTAAACTATCCAGAGAGAGAAACACTGGGGGTTGGGGGCCTCGTCTTTCCTGTATTAAAGGAATACGGATTTATGAAAACACAAGCCAGAGACTAGGAGTCGAATTCCGAAACTGAGAGAGAACCACGTAACCTGGCGCTGCACATCTATGGGGGCTTCAAAGCACATCTGTCCAAGGCCCCACATTTTATGCTCTCAGAAAGGATTTCAAAACGTCACAGCAGGACTCCCAATACCCCTCACCACGACAGTAAATCACAAGATGAGACATGACACGGGGTCATCAGAGCCATCGATGGGGGCACGGCAGAGCTGGTGTCGCGGGAAGCTGGTTGTGAGAAAAGGGAGGGACTCCTTCCCAACGGCCATCTAACTCCTGGAGGACAGTTCAGGAGGGGACGCCGACAATCGCCATCAAAGGAGGGGACAGGGCTGCTGCTGAGGAACCAGGTGCTTCTTCAAACCCGGAGCCCAAAGCTCTCACGCCCTGGAGCCCTTTCCTTTGAGAGCTTCCTTACTACCGGTCTGAGGAACCCCAGCTCACCGCACAGAAGCACCTCCAGCCCGTCCCACAAAGCCAGTGGGCTCGCTCAAGGCAGCCAAGCTTCAGTGCACGCAGGCCAAAGCAGGTGTGGAGGAGCCGCCTGTGGGCCTCACGCTCCTGGGTTCTTGAGTGCCATTTCCAACTTTGCCGACAAGGGCAAGTCACCCACGGGGTGGACTTCCGGGGAGCCCACACTTCCCCCAGCCACCTGCTCCGTGACCACACAGGGAGCTCATTCATTCCAAGCAACTGACAAGGCTTCAACAAAGGGGTTGCTGAAACTCAACCACTGAGTCTGGGGCCTGAGTTACTCTCCAGCAACAAGTGTGGGTGACCCTGGCCACACGGCTAAGTGTCTGCAGATGAGACAGGGGCTCTGAGAGGCACAGCAAGTCAGCGTCCCTGCGGGAAGCGGCAGCCGCGCCATCCAGCCAGAGCCGCTGTCCCGAAGCACGTGCCTGGTGCAGAGCAGCCAGAGCCACACGGCCCCGGGAACCACACCTCAGTCACCACCCGACATCTGCACATCCAACAGTGTGATCACCGCCGCACACGTGTGCATGTGTGCACATGGGCGTGCACATGGGAACACCCATGTATGCACACGAAATGTGCACGTGTGTGCACGAACACGTGCACATGCACTGGAACATACATGTGGACACATGCACACCCGTGTGTGCACAAACGTGTGTGCACTGGAAACGTATGTACACACATCAACACCTGTGTGCATTGGAACATGTGTGCACACATGGACACGTGTGTGAAACATGCATGTGTGTACAGTGCATGCATGTGAGGTGTGTGTGCATGTGAAAACATACCTGCACATATACATGTGTGTGAGCACATGAATGTGTGTGTGCATATGAAACCATGCACGTGAGTGCACACATATGTGGGTGCACACACAATTTCCATGGCCTACCTCTCCTTGGCTCAAAGGATAATGTGTGTGAGCTACACATGCCTGAAATTTCTGTTTCTCCCTCTGTTTTCTGCCAGGACCATCCAGGCAGTGCTTTAAGAAGTGCAGCACTGATTAGGTTTCTGCAGCTGTGACACACGCCCCACGTCTGGAATTGCCCAGTTCACGGAGCATGCACACGTGCCGCCCACACACATGCATACACACACATCTCCCCTGCAGACCCCCAGCCGCCCCAGAAGGCCGGTGGAGGCGGCGACGTCTCTGTTTGAAATCCCCGCAGCAACCCCGTACACGCGCGTGCACACGCGTACACACACATGCGAACACACGCGTATGCACACACATGCACACACACAACTACCCCAAAACAAGACACAGTGGAAGGGCATTTGGTAAGAAAAATTACTCCCCTTTGACTTTTTCTTTCTTAATTTTTTTACCGCGATAAGACATCCATAACAACAAATCCACCGTTTTCACCATCCCTAGTGTCCCCTTTCACTCTGATGACTGATCTGGTTTTCACCACACATCCCTGTTTTCATTTTTATACCCATTTTAAGGCACTTAATTCTCTGTGCCTATTACCGCCTCTTTCCCCCTCCCTGCTCCATTAAAAACCCACAACTGAAAAACTGTGTGCTGTTATGTCTCGGAGACGAGCAGGCCTTGGATACGGCCCCGTGGAGCCTTGGACTGGGGTGCTGTCCTTGCCCCGACGCAGGGGTGCTCGCCTGGGCTGTGGCGCACCCCCACTCCTGCACACGGGCTCTCCAGCTCACACCCCAATGCAGTGTTGCTCACATTCTCTCCACAAGCTGCTTATCTGACTGGGTGCCCGGCCCACGGGCCTCAGGGCAGGATGCTTCCACCCCCCCTCACTGGCTTCATCACCATCATTACCGATCCTGGGAGTAACGTCAATAATGCGTGCACCTGCCCACATCAGGGGTTCCCTTGCCGCCCAACCTCCCCAGGACTCAGGGAGTCCCTGCAGGTCCAGCCCGGTGACGCGCAAGGCAGGGCTGCCGGGACCCAGCGACCTGTACGTGCGCCGGAGCCATGGACCCACGTGCAGCCACGTTCGCCACCTCACAGGCTGGGCTCCCCCCACAGCGAGTGCACAACACAGACTACAAACCGGCGTTCGGCGTCAGCCTGTGACAGTCGTGGCTGACGGGAGAACGAGGGGGCCTCTCTCAAAGGTTAAGAAAGGGTAAAACTTCCAGCTATGCAAATTACATGATTAAGAAAATCTGAGGTCCACCGCAGGGAACCTCTAAAGAAGAAGTCGGTGGCGCAGCCCTAATTCCAGGGCGTCCTGGAAACAGACAAGTCCTCGGCTGGGCCCGGGACGGCTTCACTGGAAGCGCCACGAAGAGCTCACTCAGCGGCTGCACTGCAGTCTCTTACAAGGACTTTACCTAGTTTTTTCCAACCCATTAGCGCTGTAGTTTCCTTCTTAACAGATAAATCTGAAGTTTAATCTCTTCCTGTTTTCCACTGTCAGTCCCTGCAAACCGTCACCCTCGCCCCCGTGTGACACTGTACCGACACGAACACCTTTCTACCTCTCCCGTCCTTCCAGCAGCCGGAGCTCGCAGCCACCCTGCCCAGGCGTCAACGCCCTTCTCTCCCCACGACGGAGGAGGACTGGGCGCCCAGGACGGCTGGGCCGTGGGATTCTCATCCGGCTTCCCACCCAGGCTGTGCGCTGGAGGGACCGGCCTTCTGCCACCCGCGCAGCCCAGCTCCTGGGAGGGAAGGGGGTCTCCGGGGCGGCTCTGCTCCAGATGATGTGTGCGGG